ATTTTATAAAAATGAGAACTAATACTGCTCTAGGAATAGGGACTCAAGCATACAATGCTTACTCCACTGGGTCACCTCCGAGGGTCCTCGGGTGCCTGGTAAAACCAGCCCCTATCCAAGGGCCTGTGTTTGAAGAGAGTAAGCCAAGTATAGCCTTGGTCAAATTCCACTAGAGCCTTCCTCCAGCATAAACGCAGCGGATATATGATGACTTGGTGCGTGTGTAGCGATTCCCTCATGTCAATACGATGATAGGGAATGTTTCATTCATATAAGGATGCATATTTAATCTAACAGCCCATCAAAAGCAAAAGCAAGCAGCCCACCCATCACTAGCTCGATTCACACTCCAAAAGCTTCAGGTGTTGTGACACAAGATAGTTGCCACAACAAACCATACTCTCACATAATTGCACCTGCCAAAAATCTGCCCTTTCACCTGCGTATTTCACCTGTAAGTTGGCCACCATTCAACACACATTTCACCTGCGAGATCCAACGTATTTTCACGCTGTAAATCCCAAGTGCAAATAGGGTTAAGAGTATGTGGACGCGAAATCCACTGGCGGCCACGCATCCCAACCTGAAACCATGCGCAATTTACCTGAGCATATCCCCCCCCACGCATTCCCTGATGATCTCGTCCCCTTTACTCACTTACCCATACCTTATACAAGGCTTGAGATGTATATGGTAATTTCCTAATGGAAAAAAACCATGCACCTTGCTAGACTCTTAAAGGGTTCCATAAAACCTCCCACAAGACTCTTAAACCAACCTCATAGGTCTCCATAAAACCTCCATAAGTTCCCTATGGGATTCCCATGTGACTCCCATGTGACTCCCATGCGAGCTCCCATGCGACTCCCATGTGACACCCATGGGAATCCCATGTGTCTCCCATGTGACTCCCATGTGACTCCCGTGTGACTCCCGTGTGACTTCCATGGGACTCCCATGGGACTTCCATGGGACTTCCATGGGACTTTCATGGACTTCCATGGGACTTCTATGGGACTCCCATGGGACTTCCATGGGACTTCCATGGGACTTTATGAGCTCATCCTCACACAAATTAACCCCACAACTTCTAACAACAAAAACCCCACTTAACCCAAAGTGTGTAACCATAACACTTGCACTTAAAAGGCCACTTCTTCAATGCTACTTCATCCTCAGCAAATAGGTGGCAGGTTGATGTGCAAAAGTATGTTTTGCAGCACATACTTCCCCTCAACCTGACGGCTATGGAGCTCCTCCATTGTTCACTCCACTTACTGCATTCTTGACAATTTTCACCAGCACATGAACATGTTGTCGCTAAAAGGCTTTGCTCCTCCTCGCCTTTCATCTCCTCGTTTCCTTTGTCTATCATCATCATCTGGAGGGACACCTGAAATCCATAATTGGGGCAGAGAACCTGATGCTCCTCCTGGCATTTAGCTTCTATCTCTGCAGCTGCACCACCTAGCAGCTTCTTCACACATTGCAAATACTTCTTGTGAGTAGGCACCCTCATTACTTTTTGAATCTGTTGCAGATGGTAGCAACTCCAAGAGAACGGTCTCCTTGTTGCCACCCAAAGCCTTCGCTGCTTCCTTCAGGCCCAGCAGCTCCTTTGACTCTTCTTTTATAGTGGGTCCATCGACCTCCAAACCCAACAGCTTCTGTAACACCAGATTTGCACAAGCGACAATCTCTCAGTTTCCACATCGTTTAGCACCACCTTGGGGTTCCTTTTAACAGCGGCTTCCTTTTCCAGCAATGTCAGTGGCTTCTCATTCACCATATGCCCCCCATAAACTTCACTGTTCAGCTCAACATTAGCCATCAATGACTGCTGCCCTTGTTTGCACTCTTGTGCATGCCATGCTTCTCATCAGCAGCAACAATCATGTTACTCCCCTTGGAGTCTACAACTCTGTCCTTGTCACCCTTCCTGGCATTTTCTCAGCAGCTTCAAGAAGAGCAATGCCATGGTGCAACTGCTGCATCAATTCCTCAACTACCGATTTTAGCTCCTTCACGGCCTCCTTCGCACTTGCAGAACACTCCCCCTGGAAGCTGCACTTCGTCACGTTTTCTGATGTCATTTCATTCCAGGACAGCACGGGCACATGCCACATCTCCTCGTGCACATTCTTGCTCTCATGCAAGTACCACAACACTCGGCTATTGAGATGCCATAACCATCATCATTGTTCCTAAACTGCCTCCTCCTGAACTCCTCCTCTAGGATCCAAGCCCGCACCCACTCCAACGTCCAGAGCCCTTCATTTTGCGGTAAGCTCAGACCTGAGGTGAAATGCACCCATGATTCCAGCAGCAAGGACAACATCTTCAAACATTTTGTCTTCTTGGGGTAGGTGATGCATGCGGTAGTTAGCTTAGCGTAGAGTTCTCGCATCTTGTCAAGAGCCGGCTGAATCGGCTCCCCTTCATTCAGGTGCAGTGATGTCAATTCACGCTCTAGCATGAGCGTTGCAGCCACCGAGGTTGGCGCATGCAGCTCCTTCCATACCGCCCCAAGCTCATGGCCCGCAATCTGCTTCTTCCAGCAGGTGCATCACGTGTGACCTCTGATTAAGCTCCAAACTCTGTGAGAGGAGATAGTAGCCGGCTGACGCACGCTCGTCCCACTATCCTTTCAAGACGGGTTCGCTCGGTCTCTTCTCCTCACCCATCATTAACTTGAGCAAGCCCACTTGTCGGAAATACAGCCGCATCTTCCACGCCTAATCGTCGTAATCGTTGCCGCTGAACTTCTCCACTGTGAAATTCTTCAGCATGTCCTTGAGAAGTGAGCCTTGGCTGGTCCGCGCTCCCCTTAGCGCCGTGACCACCGTTTCTTGGACTCCACTACTCTGACTGCCCGAAGACCCTTCCATACCACCGGAGACCATGTCGTTCCAATGGCAATTACAATAACCAGAGCTCTGATACCACTTGTTTTAAATATGAACCTAATACCGCTCTAGGAATAGGGACTCAAGCATACAAAGCTTACTCCACGGGGTCACCTCCGAGGGTCCTTGGGTGCCTGGTAAAACCAGACCCTATCCAAGGATCCGTATTTAAAGAGAGTAAGCCAAGTATAGCCTTGGTCAAATTCCACTAGAGCCTTCCTCCAGCATAAATGCAGCGGATATATAACGACTTGTTGCGTGTGCAGCGATTCCCTCACATCAATATGATGATGGGGAATATTTCATCCATAAAACTATATATTACAAATGAAGCACACATGCATATTTAATCTAACAGCCCACAAAAAGCAAAAGCAAGCAACCCACCCATCACTAGCTCGATCCACACTCCAAAAGCTTCAGGTGTTGTGACGCAAGATCGTTGCCACAATAAACAATACTCTCCTATAATTGCACCTGCAAAATCCGCCCTTTTCACCTGCGTATTTCATCTGAAATTTGGCCACCATTCACTACAAATTTCACCTGCGAGATCCCACGCATTTTCACCTGCAAACCCCAAGTGGAAATAGTGTTAAGATTATGTGGACGCGAAATCCACCTGGCGCCACGCACCTCAACCTGAACCCATGCGCAGTTCACCAGAGCATATCCCCCCCACGCATTCCCTGACGATCTCGTCCCGTTTACTCACTTACCCATACCTTATACAAGGCTTAAAATGTATATGGTAATTGCCTAATTGCAAAAAACCATGCACCTTGCTAGACTCTTAAAGGGTTCCATAAAACCTCCCACAAGACTCTTAAACCAACCTCATACTGTAGGTCCTCCATAAAACCTCCATAAGTTCCCTATGGGATTCCCATGTGACTCCCATGCGACTCCCATGCGACTCCCATGGGACTCCCATACGACTCCCATGCGACTCCCACGCGACTCCCATGCGACTCCCATGTGACTCCCATGTGACTCCCATGTGACTCCCATGTGACTTCTGTGTGACTCCTGTGTGACTCCCATGTGACTCCCGTGTGACTCCCGTGTGACTTCCATGGGACTCCCTTGGGACTCCCTTGGGACTTCCATGGGACTTCCATGGGACTTCCATGGGACTTCCATGTGACTTCCATGGGACTTCCATGGGACTCCCATGGGGCTTCCCTCAGCACTTTATCAGCTCGTCCTCACACAACTTAACCCCACAACTTCTAACAACAAACCTCACTTAACCCAAAGTGTGCAACCATAACGCTTGCATCTAAAAGGCCACTTCTTGAGCTAAGTGTGAACTTATTCAAAGAGTGCTATGGATCCCTAAGCTAATTGGGAGAGAGACTAGGCACATCGACATTGATACGATAGCTTAGGCGCTTTAGCAACCTAAGGCGCATCCAACGTGGGCGAACCTGTGGCTGAACACTCGGACATAATGAGCTACCATATACACCCGGATATGCGCCCCCCCGGCGGATAGGATCCAAGGTCCTCAATTCAGCTAATGGGCGTTAAAATGGCAATTTTTGGTATGACAAAATTTTAGGGAGGCATCTTGTCAGGAATCTTCCACATATCAACAACCGTTTTTACCAGCACTCAATAGATGGCACATGGAGGAACACTCTCCTTTTCATAATTGTTGCTTTACATACGTAACACTAGCCCCAGACTTGTTTTCATATTTGATTATTAACCCCTCCCCATGAGATTCCTACTCACCCTACATGCTCCTAGGGTCGCATATCCAGGGGGATATGGTAAGCTAGTTCAGGATAACCCAATGTTGGCATGATAAGCTTAGGCGAGCTAAGGTATTATGATCTAAGCGGGAGTACTTACGGCATGTAAGGGCTTATTCGTATGAAGTAGGATCTACTCACGGCGATTGGCGCCGCAAAAAAAAAAAAAAAAAAAAAACAAGAGGCGACGAAATCGTCTTAGGGTTGCGGAGCTCTATTGTATAAAAAAGACGAAAAATAAATACTTTTGCTAGTATACTACTCAGAAATAACCCAAACCCGAAGTACACAACATTTAGAAGTGTATGTAAATGAAAAATATTCTGTGTTTTTATATTATTCAAATTATGAACATGTCACGACTGCCAAGCGTGAAAACCGCCACCTAGAGCTGGTTCTTCTATTTCCATGTTTTAGATTCTTATGTTACTTTTCTGTATTGTTTATTATTACGCTACAATTCTTACTTTATCTCGTTTTCGTTTTCGTTTTAGTATCATCTTTCTCAATACTGTGCGATATGATTTCCCTGCCCGGTGGCGAAAGTTGCCACCTGGCAGATTTTGTTTTTTTGCGCCTAGTGGCGAGGCTCGTCACGCGCACAATTTCTGACGGAAATACTGTAGCCGTCCAGTGACGTCAAATTTGTTCTGCCACCCGTTCGGATTTTTTTTCGTCAAAGCGATCCGGCTTTTTCAACGACGCGAATTACGAGGGCGTATTTTAAATTTCGAATTTCATTGATTTTCACCGATTAGTTGGTTATGGAACTGGCAATACGCGAAACAATGAATTTCGAACTCGTAGTTCCGTAGTATTGAATGCAACACGTACAATTAGTCAAATAGATAAAACACGCCCTGACAAGTTCGAAAACTAGTTCACAAATTGCATTCTGGCTGGGCAGTTTCTGATGGAAACGAGAAAATAGATTGAACTTCCTTCAGAGCTGCGAGAGCCTGGCCGTTCCACCCACATTCTCCAACTTTTCTTTCTCCCTCTCACACAATTCTTCCTCCATTCATCAATCTCACAACTTTCTCGTCACCTCCAGCAGTTAGCGTTCTAGCGTTCCAGCCAAGGCCATCCCATAGTTGGGTTAAGTCATCGTTTCTCTCTCAGCTCGTCGTCAACCTCCTAGCTTGATAGTCATGCTAGCTTTTCCCTCCTTTCTTTCCCTAGGCCTCTCTCTTCTTATATTCCTTGCTGCTTTCCTCCAACAAATAAACATCCTCTCACTTTTTCATATCCCTTATGTCTCTAGGTGCTCTAGCTTGTTAAGGAACCACGGGTAATCACCTTTCAACTTTATTTCAAGGTACGGATTCTACCCTCCCGCCATGCCCTTCTCCTCTGCTCTCGTCCATACCTTGACTCAATTCTTCCTTTCTCCCCACCATTACGGGAAATCGTTCCTTACGTCCCCTCTCCTTTGCCCGCCTTTTCACCCTCCTAGTCCGTCGTAACCACTTCTTTGCCCGCCGTCTCCCCCCTCCTTACATGTCGTTTTACCTCTCTCTCTCTCTCTCTCTCTCTCTCTCTCTCTCTCTCTCTCTCTCTCTCTCTCTCTCTCTCTCTCTCTCTCTCTCTCTCTCTCTCTCTCTCTCTCTCCCCCTCTCTGCCTCTCTCTACCTCTCTTTCAACTTCTCTCTCTTCGTCTCTTTCCTTTCACCATCACATTTTGTGTTAACTTCCCATGCCTATTCGTTCTCGGCCTAGCTGCTTGTTGTTCACTCCTTTCATACGCAATGCCTAATATAATATCCACTTTAATTGTATGCAGGTTTTCTTGTAAACGCGTTTATGAGTTCCCTACGGCGTTTTGCTGTAATTCGTTGGGATGTTCAATTATCTCATTTTCAGCTTTATATTCATATAATTGCTGGCGTCCTGTGTTTGGTCTGATGTGTCTTGCTGCTGTTATTTGCTCTCATTCTAGATCCACAGCAATGCATGTCTGTATTTCGAAAAAAGAAAGCATGCTTATCAAATCACAAACGGTTCACAGGCGAGCTCCTTGAGTTTCTGTCTCGAACTGGATTTGATAGGTTTTGGTTCTTTTTTTGGACATTACAGATTGCGTTGCTCCATCATTCAGACACTAGGCTTGCTGACTTCCCCCCCATGCTAGCGCTGGGGAAGCGGTAGCTTAGAGTTTGAGTTTTTCACTGTCACATAATCAAAAAAAAAAAAAATCATGTCATGAATGATGACATGAATTTTCTTGCACGACTCGATTGGATCCGTACACAACGATGTGATGCAATCAGACAAGAGGCCTGCAAAAATTTCACAGTAGATCAGAAATCAACCAAATATGGTGCAAATATTATTTCAAAATAGATGCATTTGATTCCTATCATAGAATAAACACATTGTGAAAGCTTGCTTGGGTCACCTTGGCAAAGGCAGCGTGCTTCATTTCATATGGGCTACAGTACATGGTTCTCGTCCAATAGACTACACCGTCCAATAGGGTGGGTGGGTGGGGAAAACGAAACTGGAACTAGAAATGAAGAACGTGGGTGAGGTCGAATGGCCTCACGTCCCTCTTTTGTAGGCAAAAGAGGGTGAGTAGCGCTTCGACGCTGACCTTGTTGCGTTGGCCCTCGCTACACTTTCACAATACACATTTTTTAGAAAGTGTTACACGCTTTCAAAAAATTACATCTCTAGCATTTTGTTACATTCATAGGAAGAGAACAAAAGCTGCAGGTCATATTTTACTGTGCAAAGGTTTTCCATCCAAACTTTTGAGTGAAAAAAAAAAAATCGGCAAAATCGATCGTAATAGGTTGCTCCGCAACCCAAAAAAAAAAAAACCCTGCTTGTATAGATGTGAGCAACGACGACGAGTAGCTGATCACTTGGTCAACAACAGCGTGACAAAACGTCGAGGCATATGTTACAAACGTAGGAAGGTGTCATCCAACCCACGAACAATGTTTGGGTTCGATATATCATAGGACTCGATACGTGCCAGCATGTCGGACTACTCGCCATTGGTTGCAACGGTCGCTCATCATATTTTTGGGACTTTTGAATGTTGATTAGATCCATATGTTATTTAACTGCAGGATATACACGGGATCAGCCTCGGTTAGATCCCACTTTGGTGTAGATCCTACTTCGTAAGAACACGTCCTAAGCGTGCTAAGCGGTGAATGTGGTAATACTTTATAATGTGTTTTATCGAACCAAGCATTCGATTATCCATGATTTTGGAATTGTCACATAAACTAACGCACGCGATCAAACTTTGGGCACTTTGAAGAAAGTGACCAAAACCAGTGCTGGGGTGCATAGAAGTTTGAAAGTGACCAAAACCAGTGCATAGAAGGGTTGAGGGCGCTTCCCCAGGTTCTCTACATTTTTCCGCTCCAACATTACTACAGCGGCTCTACGGAGAACCGGTACAATACCGCCCTCAAAATGTGATATGTAGGGTTTATGAGACAACCGAAAGACTCACAAGGGTTGCTTTTACTTGACCAGGTTTTACAACCAACCACATTCGCCAAAAACCAGCCATGACAGTCAGATAACTGGGACTGCGTGTGAACACACAACAAAATGCAACCGTAAAAGAGTCCAGAACCGCTAGCGGCAATGCCCTCATAAACCGGAAGTGTTATGACAATTCAAGCGAGGGGTGCACCATTGCAACAATGTTGGACCCTCATCTCAATCTTGCCTACTTGGGGATCAACTAAATGCAGATGACAATAAGATGTGATGGCTTTTGAGGCTTATGCTCCCCAATTATCTGAGAATGTGGGCGAAGGACATGGGTCGGTGCCGACTCAAGCTTCGCAAAAGCGATTTAATGATACGAATCACTCATTCTCGGGCCAAACCCTTTCAAGGAGTGGGCCTATGGAAAAACTTACAAAGCACTTTGAGGATGAGCAAGTCATGTTGGAGGACTACGAAACATTATGGATTGGTGGAAAGTCAACCAAGGCCGCTTTCTGATAGTTGGCACCGACCAATACCGGGAAGAGTGACAGAAAGGCCCTTCTCCAAAGCACAACATATGTTCACCGATTTTCGCCACTCACACCATGCCGAGAGTGTGCGTGCTAGCATGTACTTGCATTCTTGGAATAAGTGGTCTAGTTAGTCTTGCAAGATGGCAGAAAATTACTACCATTGTATCTGTTTAGCAATCAAATTGTTGGCATTCTGCTCAATGCCTTAGTTTGAGGCATAGGCTTAGACATCTACGGCACGCGTACACATGTGTTTAACATTTGGCAACACGAATAACGCAAACTGCACTTAATCATGGAACAAAAACCTACCATTGAAGATTTGGAAATTAACTTGGACTTGGCTCAGAATTGACTCAATCTCGAATATAAAGATTCGACAAACCGGTATTGACTAAAATATTTGAGAAAAACACGACAACCAGTCTTGGACTCGAACTCAAGACTTGATGAACAGGCTTACCCCTAGGTTCCACACCCTTATAAGCCCAAAATAAGTTGAGCTCTCGTGGCCTATCTTTTATCTAACCCCCTTGACTCATGTTGGTGTTTGTGCAGTTGCTTCCCTGTTTGCCTCCCCCTATCCCATCCTTCCCTACCGCTGCTCGTTCCTCTAGTGCCCGCTCCAAATGTGGCTGCTCCATCAGTGGCTGGGACCATGCCAAGGAGATCATGCCAATACGTGACTCCTCATGCCCGAGTGATCTCAGCAGCTGATCCTTTGTGAGTGTCGACCGCATGTTATTCAGCACTACATGGGCAATAATTTGAGAGCAAATATCATCCACTCATCCTCTTCTTCTTTTCCCTGAAGCTGCAAGGTACTTTGATCTTAGGCCCTCAGCACTAGCCCAATAGGCAGTTATGCATTCACCCTCCTTCATTCGCAACAAAGAGAGCTCCTTGTAGAGAGCTATGCGCCTGCAGAAACCCCACAGCACATAGAATTCATGTACCCGCTTGTAGGATTCCATTGTGTGTGCAGGTACACGAGTGATACTCCTCGAGTCTCCTGTGATGACAACCTCAGATTTTCCATCAAAACCCCACGCGAGGCGAATAAGCTCGTCTGGCACTAGCGCATGGAAGAATTGTACAAGTGCCTTCAGATTCCTCCGATCCCACTCCGTTTGGGCATCACCCAGCTGTAACGACCTCTAATCCGACCCATAATAGAAACCATCCAAGTCATGTGCATTGACCACTGCTCATATCGAAATCTCCAGATCAAGTAGTCCATCCCATCCAATTTTGGCAGATGATCGAACTTCTCGTCATGAGTATCTTGCATCATTATGATACTTAGGTGGTGGCGGCGGCAGCAATGGCAACAGTAATGGTGGTATCGGCGACGACAGAGGTGGCGCCCACGGCATTGGTGTCAATGTTGGTGACGGCGGCGGCAGCGGCGACGGTGTTGGACCAAGTCGTTCTCTGTTTTTTTGCCCTAAATCCCCCGTTACGCATAAAATTATTTCCAGTAGGTTTTCTGACGTGAAACTCCACTCGTTGCTCTGTTCAACGAATAGTTTGCGTAAAAAGAAAAGTAGACTTAATCAAGAATGCTAACTTCAGGGAATAGAGAACTAGACTCCAGTTAGATGAATCCAAGGTCCGACATGCTGATGTTTCATTCATGCTCTTATTAAATCAAGGTTAATGGCAACTTGTGTTTGATACCTCCCTCCCACCTGTTGTGTTTCAAGGCATGCAGTGTGGAGTGGAATATTCTTGCTGCGTGTGTCGTTATGCTCTCGTATCAGTAGCACTGGGATTGGTCCGGAGAGGAGACTTAGAAGGGCTGCGTGAAATGTGGTTTGGTGGATTGTGCAAATTGGGGAGAACTCGAGGATAGTATAATGCCATAATCGAATGGCGATGGAAGAATGGCGTGTCCCCTCTTCTTATTATGGGCAGAAGAATGAACCATGTAGGATGGCACGCTTGGCGGCTCATACATTGGCAGCTCCCTTTTGGTGGATACGTGCTCTATGGTTGACGAGGAAAGATGAGGTGTGGGATTTAAAGTTTATCTGTCAGAACTGTTTTGTTCTATTTGTTAAAACATCCGTTGTAGTCTAGTCGGTTAGGATATTCGGCTCTCACCCGAAAGACCCGGGTTCAAGTCCCGGCAACGGAATCCTCGCTTTTGGCTTGGCCTTGGTTCCCTCCTATTGTTCCCAATGTGGGCCACAGACTTTACTCACTTCGCGGTTCGTGGGCCTTCACCTCTAGCAACGCCACAAGGCCTTCGTAGCAGCCCACGTCGCATTATTCTTACATCTAACATTGTACGGGCTTCAGAGTCGCGCGTTGCATGGCATCATGGCGACGACGGAATTCTCGAATCAGCTTGGCATTCTTCACTCATTGCCCTCCTCCTCACTTGCAGAGAGAGACCTGCGTCTTGGCAGCCCCCTATGCCCCCCTTAACCCCCTGCGACCCCTGCGGCATGGCCTCCTTGTGCGCGGTTCCTAACTCCACATGCCACGCCCGATTCTATCCTCCTGATCCATCCGGTAGAATCACGCAATCGTGCGTTTCCTGTACACCTGTCACTTTGCCTCATCATTCGCATGTGTTTCCCCTCCTTCCTCGCTAACTTGCATGTCCTCGCTATCTTGATTCCTCCACGCCTCAACCATCTCTTTCTCGCGAC